TATGGGCACAGGAGAGGGCCAGTGGGGAGGGATGCTCATTGTGGGGCCTCCCAGGGGAGGAGGAGGTGAGAGGCTGTTTGGAGTCAGCTGGGGGTGAGGTGGTGCTCTCTGCCGCTGCCAAACAACACCCTGGGACTGCCCATACAAGGTGACCCATGCAGCCACCGTCAGATGAACTGGGCGCCCAGCCTTGGGCCTGCCTCTGCTCACTCTGTGCTGCAAGGGGAGGGGATCTGGGCAGGACTGCCCCCACTCCCTTCCCCAAACCACCTTACACAGGGTGTTCAGGGAACACTGCCTGCCATCAGCAGGTTGGTGGGACCAACCCAAAGCTGCTACTTTGAGTTTGTAGCACCCGGTTTTGGGGGTGTAGACCTCTGACCTGGCCTGTGAGGAGCGTCGGGCTGACTTGGACTGAGTGCTCCACCCTCCGCCCCACTAGGACTCAGTGGTCCGTGTTGTAGTTAAGTACCAAGCAAAATGCCACCGGTCCCATGACAGCCTTTACTGCTGGGTTAGCCCATGGACGTAGCCCCCATGTCTGTCCATCGTGAGACAGAGTCCTGCCCTCCCTCCTGGCAGCATCCTGGCTATGCTGGGGCGGGGGTAGTGTGGGCCTGCCTGTCCCCAGCACACAGGAGGAGCACATGGACCAGCTCTGTTCCTGGGCAGCCAGGAAGTGCCAGGCTGCAGGGCCAGGGCTGGAGCTGCAGCCCACAGGCCGCCCTGACGCAGCTAGACACACTTCTCCTGGGCCAAGAAGCCGGAGAAGGGTTTCAGGCTCTTCCACATCCAGGTGAGAGGTGTTGCCCCCAGACAGGCCTGGGGGCTGAACCCACCTGTGCCCTGAGAGGCGCTCCAGGCCGGGCCAGTAGCTCACATGCTCGGTCGCTCGCTAGCTTACCAGAGGCAGGGGCCCGAGTTCTCTCCGGGTGCCTCAGAAGACATGCCTGGTTCTGCTGCGTGCCACCGCAGGAGGGCACATCTGGGCCCTGCTGCAGACCATGAGACTAGCTCACACACAGACAAGAGGGGGAAGACCCCGTCTTTAGATCCTTCTCTCCATGCACTTTCTGGAGCGCCCTCAGGAGATGGGGCAATCGAGTCCCTAGAGTGCTGCAGAGGAAAAGCCTGGCTACTGCAAAAGGCCCAGGTGGGCTTCTCCGCAGGGCCCCTCCCTTCCCTGGTCTCTGCTGGCTCCATGGCAGTTGGTGCGGGTGCTGTGAGCCTTGGGGGGTCTGCCTGTGGTGGAGGGGCTCCCCGCAGGCCTTCCCCCTGGGACGCCTTCATTTCAGTGCATAGCTTCCTGGGAGAGGCTGCCGCACCCTGCTCCCGCTCTCCCCATAGCAGTGGAGATTTGTTCTGACCCTTACTCAGACCCTCCTCTTGGTTGCCCTCTCTCCTGTCCCCCCGCTGTCCCATTCCAGTCCTTTCATGGTCCTTGTGGAGTCCAGCTGAGAGCCTGGGGTGGGGGTGGGGGGTGCGGTCGATCACACTAACCAGGTGCTCCTCACTATGGGAGGAGGTGTGACACCCTACCACTTGGTAGGGAGCTTGCCCTTCTCCCAGGACTCTTACCCTTCTATGCCTCCTCTGGTCTAGAAGTCCTTGTTGCTAGAACCCTAGGAGGGAGGGAGGGGCTGGGGCTGGACCATCAGACCTGCTGGGGATAGGCTTGGCGCAAGGCAGGCATAGTGAGGTGGGGCCCCATCCTGTGTGTCCTGATGACACACAGGGCCTGAGCCTCCCACCACCAGCTGGTTTCCACAGTGGGGTGCATCCCTGGAAGGCCTGGGCCATACTGCCCTTCCCATCTGGGCTGGACTTCTGTGTGACCCTGGTGGGCTCTGGGGTGCAGAGGCCTGTGCCTTGCTGGTGGGCGGGGGCTGAGCAGGGGCGCCACTGGGCGGGCAGCAGGCAGCGGCTCTGTGGGAATGTTCCTCTGTAAACAGCGGTGACTCAGCGCACAGCTATGCTGGGCGTCCAGAGCGGAGTCTGCGGAGTTCTGAGAGTCCCCCAGCACTGCTGGGGAAGTTCCCAGAGCTCCTGTTCCCCTGACCTCCGGGCCGGCCACACAGGTTCTCCCAAGGGGTGGTGCTGCCCGTATGGTGTGGCCTCCCGTCCTGACATACAGGGGGTACGGCCAGTGGGGCCTGCATGTGGACAGGAGGGGGCTATGACTTCCCAGCTCCTGTTTGCAGC